CCTCACCTTCGACCCTCTGCTGACCTTAATCCACTTTTTTCCGGTCTTCGGAGTGCTCTGGGAGAGTTTTGGAGAATTTTTGTCTGGCTCCGCCCACCTCGGGCTGGCCCCGCCCCCAATTTTCGTGCCCCACAATCCTCACCGGCGACCCTCTGCTGACCTTAATTCAAGTTTTTTTTCCGGTCTTCGGAGTGCTCTGGAACCGTTTTACAGACCCTTTTGTCTGGCTCCGCCCACCTCGAAGCAGGCTCCGCACAATGTTTTTGCCCCACTCCGTCACCGGCGACCTTTGCGACCTCTGCTGCGCCACGTTTCCGGTCTTTGCAGTGCTCTGGAACCGAGCTACAAACTTTTAAAGTGAGTATCCTGCGGTTTAGGGCAAGCTCCGCCCACTGTGGGCGGATCTCAACACATTTTGAGCATGCCCAATACTCGCCAGATATTTACATTCTGCACTGAGCTTTTTGCGGCTTCTGAACACTCTCGAACCGAGTTACTGAGTTTTATGCGAAGCACCGCCCACCTTGAGTACGCCCCGCCCATTTTGGATGTGTCTGCCACAGTTAGTCTGGCGACTCCTTACTAACCTTATTCCCTTTTTTCCCCATCTTAGGCTGCTCCGGAAGCGAATTATGAACATTTTTCTGTGAAACCCCAAAATTTCAGCGAGTGCCCCGGGGCTTCGCATAGGTCAAGTGTGCTTTTTATTTCTTGTCCCATGCTCTACCCATCCCCACCTTGACCCGACCTCTCTAAGTCGTTCTTCAGGTCGAACCGAATTTCCGGACAGACAAACAAACTTACAAACAAATAAACAACAAGAACGAGGACACGAAGCGAATTATATATATGGGTTGATATATAGTTTCCCGCTGGAATAAACTCAACTCGAAAAAATGCTCGAAAGTTCCACGAAGTTTTGGGACAATGCAATATTAATGCATAGACATACAAATTATTCTCGATTGCTTATCTCGAAAGTTTGAACAATCTTCCCCAGGATTTCCCCAACGCCAAATTGGCGCGGCGACCTTTTCTTCAGGGCATTCACCGTGATCTCTCGCTGTAAGGTCATTTGGGGCTCTGATTACGAATATGATACTGTCTTTTGAAGTGGCGGTCCTATCTGTCCAGAAGGCCAGCGCCAACCTCCCGTCGCGACTTCTTTCCCAGAGTTAGTCATAAGTTTTGATGAAAAGGTAGAGGCAAATAGAGGTATCCATTTGTGGCGTCGGAACTGTAAATGGATATAGTCCATGCCTTTGTAATGTGATCAGTGACCCATAGGGATGAAGTTGAGTAGAATTGGCCTTGGGATGTTTTCTATTCAATATCCGAGTGCTACTAACCGATGTGTTGCCAGTCTGCTTTCAAAGCGAAAAGAAGAAACTGAGCAATTCGTTCCACTCCATGGAAATGTAGTATCATCGACGTAGGATAACACATTCTCGGAAGAGCACCAGAAATATCTGCTATTCTCCAGAAGAAAACAACTTTGAAAGTGTGCATCGTGCTCAATGCACAAATTCGCAGACCGAGAGCAAGTGCATAGCTTGCAATGCGCGCAGGTTCAATTTATTGATCTGATTGCTGTCTCTTTTTGCCCTGAAAGCGTGTTTGTTTGTCTGACGTGAATCTGATTAAACATATTAAGAAACGAATCGCACGCCAGTCAGAAATCACGTATTGCTCTGAGCTAGCGTTTCAGTCTTAATCAGTTATAAGCTGCGTTTTCAATACGATTTGTCGTTGCTTTAAATCTTATGGCAAACATTTCAGGTCCTAATGTAGCGTTTGCTAACCCTCCATCAATGACGGAAATGGACATGGGCACCATGGGAGCATGGGCTGAAATAATGGCTGAGGAGCAGGTGCACATTTTTAATTCTCTGTTAGGGAAAAGTAGGCATAAAGGTGAACGGGCGAATGTGCCTTGTCTTGCGTGCCTGTCTACGCTTTCTCAGCGAACGGGAACTGGAGTGCATTCCCCTGCTAAGATGTAGCAGTAGGAGACAGGCAAATCAAAGCAGCGCTTAGCAGAGTTGCGCCGTCGCTTGCTACCCCTGAACTACTTTATTGTCTGAACCCTTTAATTTTGCTTGACAAAATCAACAAGAAGGGTAAAGAAAATGAGATGTCGTTATTCCAGCGCATATTTTAACAGTCAAATTAACTAATCAAACAAGGTCAGCGGTCAGTTCGGCCATCTGCGATGTTATGTAAACCGACGCATGCGTCTTGGGACACTAAGCCTAAGCTCCCTGGTGTGGAACGATACCCTGAAGAGAGTTGTGAATTTTTTTTCCGCCCACATTGTTGTTTCAATTGCTCTTGCTTGGAGGCGTAGTAGCGTCTTTACATATAAGAGGAGAAGATACGTACCGTAGAAATAGAGCAAAACCGATAGTGAGAGTGTCTCATAGATAAGCGTTCATGGATCGCTTCCTGTGTGGTCACTTCATTTTGCATTTTCTTCAGAGACATGACCAACAAGGCCTCTAAGGCTACGTTCATACTGTGCGGCAGCGTCCTCCTGTCTACCAGCGTCCACTAGTATTCCGAGCGTTCAGAAGCGTTTGCGATTAGGAAAGTTTAGATATCAATATAGAGTCTGCCAGCGTCTACCAGCGTCTGTCAGCGTCTCTAGGGCTAGGGAAGTATAGGTACCGATCTGGGCCTGCCAGCGTCTGGCAGCGTCCAACAGCGTTCGCCAGCGACCGGGAGTAGAGAGTATGGGGAAGTAGGGGGAGGGTAGCAAACAGCTGGATTAGGCGTCGTGAAAGTTGCGGCGTGTGTAACCGCACCGCACAACTGCTAAAGCGCTGAATTATGCAATTAAAATATACGGTGTAGTGTAGTTACACAGTGCGCTTGCACACACCGCACTTTCACGACGCCTAGTCCCCTCTTACTTTCCCATACTCTCTACTCCCGGTCTCTGGTGAACGCCGGTGGACGCTGGTAGACGCTGGCAGACGCCAGATCGATATCTATACTTTCCTAGTCGCTGACGCTGTCGACTGGGAACGCTAGTGATCGGTGGTAGAGTTAGTGGGGCTACCGCTCGCTGCTTGCAGATACTTACCTGTATGAGAGCTTGCGGTTTTGCTTTTCTGAAATACAACTGCAACTCTTGCAACTTAGAAGTGGACTTACGTTTATCTCCCTCGTAGATAACGCAAAGGTTTTTGCACTGAACTAGTGTGGTATCCATGTTCTGCAGATCGATTTACTCCTCAGAAGAAGTTCCTATCCAAATCTGGTATTTTCCCCCAACTTCAAAAAGGTGGTATATCCTATGGGTGAATGAGCAAAAGTCGGAAGCTCAACTACCGGCGATGGCTTGTCTTGGGATGGAATCTCCACCGGGTAATAGGGCAAATGAAGCAGGTCATGCGAACAAGCGAGCTAGGTGTTGTGCTGAAAAACATGACCTGAAAGTTAATTCAGCTTGAAGACCAGTCATCGGTGATGGGCTAGTCTTAGTCCACTGGTGGCTACTATACCGTTACTAACACATCCCTCTTTTTTGATGTTGAGGCATAAGGCTGCGTTTATACTTTGCGGCAGCGTAGCGTAGCGCTTCCAGCGTACGCCAGCGGCAGTGTCGGGGAAAGGATAGATATCGATCTAGCGTTCCCAGCGTCACCAGCGTACGCTAGCGTGCCGCTAGCGCACGCCAGCGGCACGCTAGCGCACGCTGGCGTAGCGAGGGCACGGGAAGCATAGCTATCGATCTAGCTTCACCAGCGTTTCTCCAGCGTTTTCCCAGCGCTTGCAGCGACGGGGCTAGAGAGGGGCTAGAGAGTATTGAAGGGAGGAGAGTATTTTGTACTCTCCTACTTTCAATCTTTCTAGCCCCGCTATCGCTTGCAGCGATTGAATGTAGAGAGTACAAAATACTCTCCTCCCTTCAATACTCTCTAGCCCCTCTCTAGCCCCGTCGCTGCAAGCGCTAGCGGGGCTAGAGAGTATTGAAAGTAGGAGAGTACAAAATACTCTCCTCCCTTCAATACTCTCTAGCCCCTCTCTAGCCCCGTCGCTGCAAGCGCTGGGAAAACGGTGGAGAAACGTTGGTGAAGCTAGATCGATAGCTATGCTTTCTCTGCCCTCGCTACGCCAGCGTGCGCTAGCGGGCCGCTAGCGTACGCTGGTGACGCTGGGAACGCTAGATCGATATCTATCCTTTCCCCGACACTGCCGCTGGCGTACGCTGGAAGCGCTACGCTACGCTGCCGCAAAGTATAAACGCAGCCTAATCTCTGAATTTGTTAGAGTGCCGTAGCTGGAGGTTATTTGATCCCCTGTACACGAATATCATATCCGATTCACGCGAAAGTAGTTATGTCATATTACTGCGAATGGCCGGACTGACCTGTTGATCTTCCCTGGTAAGCGTAAGGATATTACACACATAAGGATATATTGCTCATTTTGTATTAATTGATACGATGAATCTGCGAGTCAGTCTTCTATTTTTGTAGGTGCAGCCCGCTGCTCCAACTGAGAAGAATGACGAAAATGAGATACGAGAACAAAATATAGGAGACGTAGAAGACGTTACACGAAAAGGTCCTGAACAACAGACTTTCGCTGTGCAGGTACTGAAGTGACTTCACGAGTTTGAAATTGAAATAAACTTTTCCAAGCGTTTTCCTGGAAAGTTTCTAGTTTGAGTCTTGACCTCAAACTTTGAATATCCTTGTTATTCTAGGTTACGAATCTTCCTGCATGCACAAATGAAGAACTTTTTTATCACTTTGGTGGAGATGGCGTGGTGAGCATCTTTGCTTTACAATGTTAATATTTCGTTTTTATTGTTTTCTTTGCACATCATACTGTACTCCGTTTTTCTTTGTACAGGTGCGCGACGTCACATTTCTAAAGGATCATCGTTTTGCTGCACGAATAGATTTCACTGCTGCTGAAGGGCTTAAGAGTGCGAAAGGGCTCGATGGTCAGATATTTAGAGGACGTACCTTACGGGTAAGAATTCAAATATGAAAGTAAGGTTCGAAAAGGAACTCCTCCTCCAGTAGTCATTATTTCTTGTAGTTCAAGTTCATGAAAACATTAAATGTTGAAAGATCCATCTTCTCACCTTTTGTCCTTCCTTGGCTCCCAAGAATTTTCAGCAAATCCATGGTGCATAAAGAATACTGTATCTTGTGATTAATTGCTAAACAGCGGATGGGTCATGGGTCGAGCGGGAATGGAACCCAGCCCCTTATCTGAGTGAACAATTTCGCATTCATAGCTGCGACAGCTGAGGAACAGGCGGTACAACGTTTTTCGCATTCGTGCCCCAAAGGAGTGAGCAGGAATTGATTCGCTGCGGTCGCTCGCCCTTTGTTCGATTCGCCGATTCTCTTTCCTTCCAAGCCGCTAACGTCCGAAACCAGTCGATTCCCATCTTCTCTTTTGGCACATTCTCCCTTTAAACGTCGAATCACCGATTTCTCCCATGTTGCGAGGTTTGAACGCGAGCTCATAAGTCGCGGTGTTCAGATAGGAACTCAACTGTACAGCTTATGTGGAAAACAATGGGCTTAAAGTTTCGACGTCATCGTTCATACCTTTAATATTTGCAGGTTTACGAAATACGCGAGGAGAGGGTTCGGGAAAGGCCGTCTCAACAAGATTTGCAAAATCGTCAGTACAGCAACGAACCACCATCATATAATAGAGATAATAGCAGGTAGAACCTTGAATTTCTGCGAATATCTTATTCCGCCAAATTATGCTTGAAGGTATTCCTCGCGCTCTAGCAGTTCGTAGGCATTCTTCTTTTTACAAGAATTCTGACCACGAAGGCGCTGTGGCCCTTGCAGTTCGGCCCTCTGACGCCTCCTTAGTTGTCCAGCCCACCAAAACTAAGCGGCTATTTTCGCGTGTTTGTCACGAGCTCAGTTTTAGCATCATCATGTTTTCGTTTTTTTTACCCTTACCAGGAAAGGACAACAGGTCAGCCCGACCATTTCCAATGAGCTGCACACCGTTTTACGCGTCTTGGAACGGTGAACTCAAATCTACCTTCAGAATTTGCGGAACGATTCTCTGAACGCAGTTATGAGGGATGGGGGTTTATCCCTGCCTGAATGTTTTACATGCTATCGCGACGAAACGTGCTTCACATTTATGTATGGAGTCATTCTGACGTGGTAGTAGAGCGCAACGGCCTTTTTTGCATTTGTTCAAGAACATAGCCAACAAGATTGTAACATATCTGCTATACCCTTTAAGGGAACCTCCCATCAGTTTTTTTAAGCGTAGACCCATTGTGGCTTGAAAGAGTGCTTCTGTTGTACCCCTCGTAACACGTGTCACAAGGGTTTTTGCAATGAAATACCATCATATTCATGTTCAGCGGGTTGAATTACCCTTGGGGACAAGTTTTTAGCCGAATCTGATATTTCGGCCTAACTTGTAAAACGTGGGCTATTCTATGGGTAACCAGTTTGGAGCTCACCTACCATCGATGACTGGTCTCGGATTGGCATTTCCTCCCAATAGTCAAGATGATGTAGACGGCACAAATAAGTAAGCCAGGTACTGCTGTTTGCGAAAAGACATGACTGAAGAGTTATTTCAGTTCGAAGACCAGTCATCACCAGTATGCTAGTCATAGTACCTCAGTCAGCTATGACTATCCATACCCCATTTTTTTGAAGTTGGTTCGGAACCTCAGATTTCGCTAAGGTGACATCCTCAGGGGTTATTCGGCCCCTGAACACGAATATGATACCTGTTTTGCGCGAAGAGCGCTGTGAGTCGCGCTACAGTGTCAATGATTCGGCGCCAGCTTGCCTGTAAGAAGAAAAACAGTAAAGAAAAACCTCCATAACTCCGCTCAGAGAATCGTTCCGCAAATTTTGAAGATAGTTCTGAGTTCACCGTGTTAAGATGAGTACAATGATATGCATCTCATTGCAGATGGCCAGGCTGTTGACCTTTCCTGGTTAGATGGTGTTAGCTTTTGGAAGACGCAAAGGAAACAATTAGTGAGCCAGAGGCGGCTGGATGTCGTCCGTCCTTGCGCTTCTAAACGAACAATGTCCCGAAAACTCCGTCCAGTACACGCTGCCCACTCCTACTTAGGCCGCTCTCCTTTTTTTCTGCTTTTTCTTCCCTGTTCGGGAGTAAACTAAAGCTTATGGATTTCGTAGCTGAATGCCACTATCCACTATAATGCAGTCGCATGGTTTATCTTTCAACAAACGAATCTGCAGAAGTATCAAGATTTTGATCGTTCAATATTTTTTGTGGCATCTTCCATAGAGACATCAAAATCGATTTCCATTCTTTAGGTACAACAGCCAATCGAGTCTTTACAGTAATGATGCGAGGAGTTATGAAAGGAGGTAAGTGAACGAGAGATGCTCCGCCATTTATATTGTGGTAATGAATCATTTGACATTTTACTTTCTGTATTTTAGTAATCGCTCTTATAATAATTCAAATGACTACCGTGGCAACTCCCAGTACCGTGGCCCACCTATGGGTGGAACGTTCCCACGTGGCGGGAAGTTCTACAACACTTATGATGACTACAATATGGGGCGTTACCCTCAATCTGGTGGTCAGCCATATCGTGGAAACGGACCTTACTACGTGAGTCCTCACATTATCTTACCACATTATCACATTATTTATCGTGAACTCTTACTTCACGAGGGATACTCACGCGTGCTGGCCATAAAAATACATTTTTAAGCATAATGCTCCTTATGGAGGAGGCGGATACGCTCCTCGTGCACGGGGCATGCAAAATCGTGGCGGTGGTTACAGTGGAGGGCGAGGTAATTACTATGGAAGTCAAGAACTGCAGAGAAGCGACAGCTACCATCACGATGAGCGAGAGAAGCCAGGGCCGATATCGTAAGTTTTTGTAAACTTGTAGATTGGGCAGGATCCAAGGGGGAAGTTCATGGTTGTTTTATAGACGCTCTCGTACGGAGTCCACCGCATTTGATCCTGATCGACGAAGAATGGAGTTATCTAGGACGTCGTCTCGTTTGAGTACGAGCACTGAAGATATGGAAACGGCGCATAGGGTATTTTATTTGACCTCTTTTTAATTTTTCAGCTTTGATCTATCAATTAGTCTTTGTTACAACATCATCGATTTTTGCATGCATTGTTTTGGTTTATAAATCGATTTGTTCTTTTCGATTTAGGTAGCGCCAAAAAAATTAACCAACAAAGACATTTTTGGTGAAGCCAAACCAGTCGATACATCGGAGAGGCTACGAGAGATTGAAGCGAAGCAAGAGCGTGAACGGCTGCTTGAGCAGCAAAAGTACAAGGTAACTGTAAGTTATTCCATGATATTTTTCGCTCACCTCAAACATTTTTTCATTGTTTGAGCCGTACATTAGTGCGTTTATGCTTGCCATTTTTATTTGCAGGAAGAAGCTGAAGCGGCTCGCTTGGCTGCAGCAGCTGAACATCCTGAAGGTGCTCCTCCACACCATCATCAGCATCAGTATGGAGGTCATCATGGTCATGTGCCGCGTGATGGTATACATCATCCAGCACACCATCAGTATCACCATGCGCCTTCTCGACCTCCAATCCCTCCTCACGCCTCGGTTTGTTGCTATATTTTCTTGACTGTGAAAGCTTCACTGGAAGCATTAAGCACGATGGCTGGGGCGGGCAGTTGCCGCCAACGTCATTGGTGGAAGCACTGAGTGAGGGTGGCCAAACGCCCTCTCGCAGCTCCTCCACCAATGACGCTGGCAACAACCGCTCACCTACGCACCTTTGGAGACAGCGTCTGTGGTTGACCGACGGGCTGACAACCGCAGAGTATGTTCCACTTTCGCGACTTGAAATTGCTTGAAATCAATGGCAGGGCTTTACCACGTTTAGTTGTATCCGCCCATTCATTCATGTTCTCTAACCTTATTCTGTCATTCTACCAGCGCTGTATAGTGCTGGAGTCTCCATCAGTTGTGTAGTCTCTCGCCTCACCTTTGTCTGTTTCTCCCTTGTTCGCTCAGTTTTTCTTCGGCATATATTCGTGTATGAGGCGGAGGTGGTGTAGTGACAAGTGGCGCGCTTACCACTCGCGCGGCGCCGGGTTCGAATCCCGGGTCGACACCCGCCCAGGCCAACCAAGCCTTCTACCCTCCGGGGACGGTAAATGGTACCAGATTCGTCTGGGAGGATAAAACACTGACTTGTACATCGGCTGGCCACCGCAAGTCATTGTATAGGCCACATCGCATTCAATAAGCCACTACGATTCTGAATGGAAGTAGAATGCGTGCCGCATCCCACAAAGGGATTGATCAACGGCGAAGACTTTATCCTTTTTATCCTTTTTTATTCGTTGTATAATGCCTAGAGCCAACAAGTGTCTTATTTAGAGCGTTTTAACTCCAAATTTCCAGTTATAACCGGTAATAGCGAATTGCAGTTCAAAAGTGTTGTTAATATTTGTTGGTTCTAGTACGGTCCGTATCATCCACCACACAACGCGAGTCAACATCCTCAGCAACCTCCTACAAACGCTGGACAGTTTCATCCACAGCAACGATACGAACCTACTGGTCCTGGTAGTTACAGTACATAGTGGTTTCTGTTCAAGATAAACTTAGCCTGCCCCTGTTCTACGGGCTAAAGTACCGCCTACAAATGTTACGTTTTTTATATATAGTTTAATTTTGCATGCGTCAAATTACATGCGGCAAGTGTAATAAATTGTCGCCTTTATAGCTTGGTGAATATGGGGTTCAGCAGGAATTCTTAACTGAATTCGCTAAGCTTTCTATCTTCTCTTTAGGATCATGAGACGTGAATCTACCGATGCTACGGATGCGAGTCCGCCTTTGGATCCAGTGCATGCGAAGGCACCTCTGCAGAGCCAGAGTGCTAAAGAGACGGAAAGATGTGCAGGAGGTGTCAAATGAGGTGTCATCTCTCACTACGTTCATAATTTGTATGAAACTCTAGAGCAAGGATTTCACTTTTGTGCTGGTTTGTAACTTTTTTAGTAGTTTTTTTATAAGTAACTAGTTATTTTCATTTCACCAACTTTAATTTTGTAATAATGAGCATGTCAATGGGAAGTATAAGAGGAACTGACCTCTGGGACAGTGATGAACCCACCGCTGTTTTTAGTGTTATTTCACTGTTTTGTTATGAGCGTGATTGTACCCTCCTGGTACTGTAAAGGACACCCAACTGCTGCGTAGCGGCCAATCTATCAGGTAGCTAATCTGTGGGGGAGCAGAATGCGCATAAAAGAAATCTGAATGTTGTCGGAGTGAACTGCTAGTCCATGCGTGTAAACTTCAGCAGGTCCGCGTAAAGTGCGACAGCTAGGCTTGGGGTGTGGGGGGGGGGTGGGGCAAAAAATGGCTTTCAACGATGCTCGTACAGACCACCTTGTGAGACCTGTAAATTCATTGTAACCAAAGTAGGACACTCATACCATTTGCAGTTTTCCAAGACTCAAAGGAAACTGATCATGAAACCGAGTGAGGCCTGTTTTAACATTAACTAACAGAACGGAACTTGCGAACTTAGGAATTACCCCTTCCCCCTAAGCCGAAAAATACCAAAAGTGCTATTTATCTATTTCCGTCAGGATCTTCGGTTTGGAAATACTGTGTCCCCTTATCTATTTTTTTCTGGATAAATTTCATTTAAGTAGTCGCTCATGGTGTGAAACTCGTGCAGCCGAAATTTTTTTTCGTTTGTGCCAGAGGCTTTCGCGGCAGGACTGCTTATGAACTAGCAATCACGTAACCGACGGGTTCTTGCCTTCAGCATTAGGGGATTCGTAATCTGACTAGTGAAGCTGAAGGGGTTCGCGATGGCGGAGCAAAAAATACCTTCACAAGTTTGACCTTGGTTTGGCTATCAGTTTGAATCTTCATCATTATGTGTGATCGTTACTATACATTCTGTGTGCGTAAAACGAACTCTTTTCAAGAATACTCCCGCTGTTGCATCAGTAGAGGCTCCAGTTCCACCAGGAAGACGCGATTCGGGCTCAGATCGTCGTCGCGGTAATGATGCGAATATGAGTGGCTCGGAAACGATGCCAAGGCCGGCAGCCAAGGTTTTTTTTACTTCTAAATCTTCATTTCTTGGAAGAAACATTTAACTTTATGTTCATTCATTTACATTTTTTATTCATTTACATTTTTTTAAATATTATCATGACCTTAGGTCCGAAATAACGCTAGAGAGTCCACTCTCACTTCACAATTCTTTCCTTGAACTTCTGACAATTTGTTTCTCGATAAAACTTCGAGTAGTGGGTAAGGGCCGGGGCATTTCTTCCGTACTTATCATATAGTTAGGAAAGATATTGTTTGCTTTTTTCGGCTGTGGATGAAGGGCGTGGTTACGTCTATAGGTTTTGGGGGCGGAAAAATCCATTTTCTCTTCTCCAGCTGTTTAGCATGCAGTGGAAGACTGGCCTTGTTCGTCAATCATCGCTTTCCGCGTCCAATTTTGGTCGTTTACCCGCTTCAATGATTGGTAGAGAATGGGTTTGGCGCCGCGCTTAAACGCATCCTGCCCGACACGCCCCTTCGTCCGCAGTGAACGAGCCATGTATGTTAGGTTTGGCGTTCACAACTATCCTCAAGGCAGTTGGCACGATTGGTTTTTCCTTAGTAGCCTAAAATGCTAGTAGGGCGCTGTATAGTGGGGAAATGGCGAAAGAACGGAGTGAAACGGTCAAAATCCTGCGAAAAAGCTCCGTTCTCAGTGACTTGTAAATCGATTTCGGACGAGTTTCCCGTAGGCATCTTCAATCGCTACCGAAGATACGGCTGCATATGTGTACCCATGTATGCATGCAGCATCACGGCCGCTTCATACCAATCCCTTCGCTTCATAATTTGCTTAGCAATGAATGAACACGAGCGTCAGGAACGGTCGTTCATTGTGGGCGAGCGGGAGTGGCGCGCGTTTGGGACGTAAAGTTGTGGCTTGATATGGCCCCTTATAGGGCACCTTCCTCGGGGAAACCGCTATGCAGCGCCTTCCCAGGGTCGCGGAATTCTATCCTGCCTATTGATCCTTGTCGTCTTGGGGATTTATCGTGTTAACTGCCTTTAATACATCCAACGTCACGCTTTCGTAGCGCTTTCATATAGGGGTCAGATTTGTCTTATCTGAACGCACTTCAGGGTTGCTCTTGGTTTTTTTTTTTTCAGTTCGCGGCAGTTTTGTGTAGAGTGGAATGCGGATTCGAAGCATTACAAACACGTTGAGGTTATAGTACCTTGACGGTTTTTTTTTGCATGATGAGGCTTGGGATCAAATATTACTTGGCGAATTTGAAAGACGCTTTGAAACACTCCGAAACTGATATAGGCCGTATAGTTTTAAATTGATATTTAATCGTTCCTGTTCCTGACATATTTTGTAAACGAAAAGCTCTCGAGAGTCGTGAAATAATGTCTCTTTTCATGTAGTCTGTACTATTATATTTCAATAATCCTAATTCACTATTTTTCAGCAACGCGTGGTGTACAACAGCAATAACCAGTAGAACTTCGTTCCGCTTTCAGAAAAAGTGGCAACTAATTGGAGAAATTCGAGCCAGTGTCTGCAGAGGTATTTTCTTTACAGTTAAACGTTTTATCAGTGAAATAAGCGTAGAAGTTAATGGCTAGTAAGCAGAAAATAATTTTTGATGCTGATTGTTATTTTATGGAGTGCTGGTCGTGCAGCCTGATTCACTGGGTTGAAGGGGCGTTTCAGGCGGGTTGGGTTTATTGCGGCGCCAAACCCACTTCTGCCAGTTGTTGAAGCGAGCAAGCGACAAGAATTTATCGATTGTTCGTATCTGTCGTTTCCATAAATTGTTGTCACTTGTCCAATTCAAGAACTGGTGGAGAACGGGTTTGGCTCCTCCCCAAATCCAGCCCGCCTGACTTGCCCCTTCATCCGCAGCGAACAAGACTATTTTTATCGTTTCACGTATCTGGTTTGTTAAGCACCAGATAGAGACCTCTGGAATTATTTTGCGGGCTTAATCCTCAGTCTTCAGTCATGGTAGTTCTTGTTAGTGCATCAGATGTTCAGCGTAGTAGGACGTGGCACTTTTGGCATTTTACCAGTCTCACCATTAGCCGATCATTGTTCAGGAGGAAGAGGCGTTCGAGGCGGTCGTGGTGGTCGCGGCTTCAACCGTGGCGGCGCCGCAAGCGATCGACGCAGTAGCTTTTCTGGTGCGGAAAAACCTGCTGCGGCGCCACCAATTACTGGCAAGCCTGCTGAAACAGAAGGGGAGACAGTAGAACGAAAACCTTCTACGGAAATGCGAACGGACCGTCCTGAACGAAAGGTAAATAATTTTCCATACAGTATCTCATTTTCTCATTGTTTATGATTAAGATAGTCTCTTTCAAGGATTACCACGGCTCGCATGCCTCATTGAGGAGCGGACGGGCAGGGACTCTGCGAAAAAATCGTGGCGGAGGGGCTGGATTTGTCAAGGATAGAACACCAAGAGATTCTCGGGAAAGCGATGGACCTTGGTCCGGCGACAAAGTCGTAGATGGAGAACTGCATAAAGAGGTTTGTAGTGTTCCAATGTATTAGGTTGTCCGGAAAGTTCTCAGCGTTTTGAGTGTTTCACTTTAAACGATCATAACTTTCTTAATACTCATCGGATTTAATCGAAATAAGCACCGTTCGAATCAGCACACTTTTGCCAATGTGACAGTCGAAATCCCATCAAAGAAAAAACTGGGTGGTT